TATAGTATTTGATATAGAAGCTTCCTAGAAGCTTTATAGATGCTACTTTGACTTCATAGGTGTCTTTAATTAACTTTTTGGATTAGAAACGTGATCAACAAGTTGGCCATGTGCTACACATGTTGTTAGCTTGAAGACCAAGCTAACTATGTGGCCCACACGTAAAAAAAACTTGCCTTGTAAGTCAAGGCATGTGTCCTACAAAGTCAACACATATTGGAGGTCCTATAGAACGTTGCCACGTAGCCCCTAGTTAGATAGTATATATAGAGACAAGAGTGAAGCCTTCTTCATTCTTGTCAACTCCTTTCTTGCTTCCAGTCTAATTTCAAGGGTCTATAGTTTTCTTGTCTTTTGGCAATAGCCATTCCAGTTTCTCTTTCAATATACATATTTATTTTTTTATATTTTATTATCTTTCTTTTAGTGAAGGCTCACTTGTCTGAATTTCTTTTTCATCGAGTTCTTGTCCTTGACACAATTCACTATATAAAAGAAGAAGATACTACCCTTATTAGATATTTCAATAGAAGTTATGTAAGTAATGTAGATGGTTACATTTTAATAGAAGCATATATCTTTTTTTAAGGTTCAATACTAATATCATAGCAATGCCAAAAATAATCATCAATTAGTAGATCAAGCTTCAAATTTGAGTATTGAGCACTTTTCACTTATACATGTGAGGCAATTTGACTTTGAAGACTTCTTATAGAATTTGAATTTGGTTAAATTTGATTAATAGTGCTCAAATGTGATAAATAAAAATCCAATAAGATTACTTCTAATTCAATATACCATGATTGCACCAAGCACTTAGAAAAAAATTAATACTTTAGAAGATAGAAAGTAGAAGAAGGCACCATACAAGTAGAGTACATCCCTATTGATATGCAGCTTGTAGACATGCTAATTAAAGTATTTGGATGATCAAAGTTTGAAATTGCAAGAAAAAGACTTATTTTCCTCTCACTAAAAGAGACCAAAAACTCCTTTCATTAGGAGATACCATCATGCTAAAATCACATTATAAGCTCAATCAACAATCTATTTGCCTTACTAATTTATTGATTCATCACTAAAATAAAGAAGAGCCTTTTTCACTTTGAAGTTTATAAGAAAGAATAGTAATAGAAGAAGAGTGTAGATAAGTAGTAAGAGCTCCATTTGTAAGATAATTTTAATCAAACTAGTCTTTCATCTTGAAGATTAATAATAAGGCTAATCAAGACCACAAAACATTGAAAAAATAATATATTAGAATCTTACATTATTCATTGAAATTATTGATGTTACAAATATGAAGGAATACTAATTGAATTACTCATGATGGTAGATGATGTATAAAGTTCCACAAGTTGATTTCATAACTAGAAAATAGATTTCTTTAATTTATATGTAGCATCTTTTTTTACAAAGAATTAAGTGTGTTTTTTATAGTGTTTTGTATGCCTCCATATGATTGTATTTCTTCAACATGTACCATTGTAAGGTGTAGCCTTCTTGTATTATAATTATTTTATAAATTATATCTAACACTTTTAATTTAATAATTGTAAAGAAATTTGTGAGTTTCATGATATATATTTGATGTTTAATTTTGAATAAGGTTTTAGTCATGGTATTAGTCTTTGTTTCATCGATTGAAAGCATATTAAATTTGTAAACAGTTTCTTGTATAAAATAATACTTAATATCAATAATTTTTGAATAATTATTAAAGTAAGGATTCTAAGTTATAGTAATATAAGAATTTTTATTGCAATATATGACAAAAATATTAAATGCATATATAAATATACGTTAAAAAATATTAAAAACTTTAAAATAATGATTTTTATAATTATTTAAATCTAAATATGAATTAACATGCTTAGATCTATAGTTGAAAAATGACTTACTCAATTTTATGTTTCTTCTCACATTATATTTATTTTCAAAAGTCAAAGCTTCCAAAAGAAGTTTTTTTTTATTTTTTTATCAATTATAATTCGTATACTTTGGTATTTAAATTTATGCTTCTAAATATAAAAACCTTGTATTGACATACTTTTAAAAACTAATTCTTTAATAATAGTTTATAAAACTTATATTAACTTTATTAAAAGATCAATAATCAAATTTTTATTAATATCTCAAAAAATAAAGTATCTATATTTTTATAAGTAATAATTTTTAAAATTCTTGAGTGCTTTTATAATTATTCAAAAGTATAATCTTAAAAAAATCATAAATTATGATTCATAGTTAAAGAATTTAAAATTTTCTTACAATCTTTTATTTTTAATACTTGTTGTATAAAATTAACTCTTATCAATCTACCTATAATTCTAAAATAGCTCTAGGTTTATGATAACCTTATTATAAGAATTATTGCACTATTTCCACTTTAATTTACATCTAATCATCTTCATTAGACTTCTTTCTTAATTTTTATTTTTCTAAGGATTAAATTTATCTTTTAAGAAATATTAAATGATATATTTTTTCTTTTTCAAAGCTATTTTTAATAAATAAAGTAACATACTTAACAAGTTATTTCCTGTTTAATTTTATTTATTTTTGTTAAAAAAATACTTACTTTATAAGATCCCTCATGCTACTTCAAGTTGTAATTTTTTCATAATATCAATATAAATTATTATTTATAATAAATTTATATACATATTACTTATTTTTTAAATATAACTTTAGGATTTAGTTTTTTTTATTAATTACACCTAAAACTACTTTTTTCATGATTAGATTTATTAATTATTTTAATCTTATTTTTTAAATGATATCACAAATTTTCAATAAATAAGTATACTTTAATATTTTTAAAATACATATTTTTTCATAAAAAAATATCTATTAGTTTAATTCTCAACTTATTCTTTAAAATAATACACATAATTAATTAAAGACCATTATTGTGTTATAACACGGCTATGAGGAGAAAGAAAAAACCTATGAATTTTAATTTAGAAAAACATGGATAAAAGATAGGGATGTGATAAGTACATTTAAATTTAATACTGCCTTTTTGTAGAAAAGCTCTACTTACTTTATAGGACCATAAATAAGAAAAAATAAAGTAGATTAGAAAAATAATTAATATAGGTATCTTTAGAAAATATTAATCTTTAAAAAATAAACTTGTTATTTTTATTATTGAATATTAGTTTTGAGTGATTTGACTTTAGAATAAATTTTTGAGAGATTTTCAAAGTAAGAAGTGTTTTAAGTGTTTAGGGTTTTGAGAAATAGAAGAAAATAATTTATGATTAAGAATTTTGTGAGCATTAAAAATTAAAACTTATAGATATTTAAAATTAAAATTTTATATCTTTTTTTATCTACTTGTCTTAAATTTGTTTTTATAAATTTGAACTCAATCATATAATTAGATTAAAAGTTATTAAAATTTAATTTGATTTAAAGTCTTAAAATTTGAATTTTATGGATTAGTGAGGTTTTCCTTGATCTTGAGTAGTTTTTCAGTTGGATTGAAGCAATTTTTTATAATTGGATTATAAACTTATTTTTTAAAAAAATTACTAAATTTAAGAGCAATTGAACATTTCAATAAAAAATTATTGCTACTAGAAGATCAATTTCAAGGTTGTAGAAGAAAGATGGCCTACACAAAAGCAAATTAAGAGCCTTTTCTCCTAATTGGTAAGTTGGATTGTTCTTGGAATTATTATGCATATTATTAACCATTAAATTGCAACTTGTGCATAATTTTAAGTAAGATCAATAATTTAATGTACATTTATTGAGGTTTTAAGATTGTCGATGGGATTGATTAAAGTTAGTTAGAGTTAGTTAGAGTTGGTTAGATTTTGATTATAACTTATTCAAGAATTTGTTAAAGTTATTATAATTTAATTAGGATTTGGTAGAATTTATTTAAGATTTTTTTACAATTTCATTAGGATCTGATCAAGTTTTATATAGAATTTGGTCAAGATATTTTTAGAATTCACTTTATTTTTTAAAATATATTTTTATATTTTTTATAATTTTTTTATGATTTATTATTTAAGATTTATTTAAGGTGTCTTTAGATTTTTATTTTTATTTTTTAATATTTTTAATGACTTCTTTGAGATTTTTTCAATGAATTATTTAATGATGCTTTTAGGATTTCTTTAAGATTCTTTAGGATATGATTAAGGTTTGATTAAAATTGCTAAGATTCAATTAATATTTTTTCAAATTGTTTTAAAAATTATTAGGTTCTTTATTGTTGCAAATACAAGTTTTCTTCTACAGTCAAGTGCCTTGTGCATAATACAACACCATGGATAAAAGAACAAATCCAACAAGAATGTTTTGCAAGAAGAGAGAAGAGAAGAAAGGGAGGCTTGTCACTATGAGTATTTGAAATCTCCCAATTCAACTGGCACAACATATCTTAGTTGTCACATCTTAAAACTTAATCTTGGACATTAAAAAAAACAAGTTGTGAAAGAGTGTGAAAGGGAACATGGCAAAATAGGCAATAATTAGCCTTGTAGTTAGAGGACAAGGAGCTTGATTGACTCCAATAGCTCGCAATGCAAGGAGCTGTAAGTCCAAGCCATCTTCCTATGGACACCTTTCTTGTGGAGAATTAATTTTAAATCAAGTTATAACAATTTTGAATCTTTGTTTATCAAATATTAGTGCTAAAAAAAACTTTAATGAGAAATTTTTTTTGAGTTGCAAAAATTCTTTTTAGAAACAATAGTAACAAGTACATCTAGTGCTATTGCTATTGTGTATGACAATTAATTTTTTTTAAAAAAAGAACTACTTTTGCAAAAGTAATTGTTGAAAATCAAAGTAAGTGGTTGTCTCAAAATGTCACAATATAGTCAAAAAAGTATTTTTACAAAACTTTGCAACTCTACAACAAGAGAATTTATCTATGAGCTCTCAAAGACAAGATTAGGATAAGGAAGGCAATAAAAAAAAAGAAGAAAAAGATAAGAATGAGCTGTAAGCTATACAAAACATCATTAAGCAAATTTTACTTGGCGGTGGTGATAATAATGGTTGTCGAAGATCCTTTGTTTAAGGGGTTTGGAAGAGGGTTTAGGGTTGTGCCGTGTCTGTGCTCCAGCTCTCCGGCGCACTTGTGCCTGCGATCGTCTCGCCAAAATGTCGGTCAGCGAGGCTGCATGTACCTACGCTTGCCTCATCTTGCACGATGATGGAATCCCTATCACTGTACGCTCTCTTGCCCCTTGGTATCTGTTCTCGAGTTAGGATTTTAGGTTTTAGGGTTTAGTTTCGTTTCGTTTAGTTTAGTTTAGTTGTTATTTATTTATTTATTTATTATTTTGGTCTTTCCTCTAGCGCATGCGCTTGTGCGGTTACAATGTGGTTGATATGATGGAAGAACTTTATGCCGTTGATCAGGTTGTGCTTAATAAATCTTGGCTCGAATTAATTGGACGATTTGTCATAATTGTGTTTCGCTTCTGCTGATATGAGCCATCTCATCGTGAAGATACGGTCTTTTCGTTGCTATGAGTGGTTCCTTTTAGCAGCATCTGTTGCATGTTGTTGTTTCTGTGTTTTGACTTGTAGAATCTCGCTTCAAACTGTACTCGTATGCTTAAATATATCTAGGTCTTCGAGTAGAGTAAGTACGTGTCATTGTAAGATTTTTTCATGTTGAGACTCCGAAATTGATCAACAAGTATTAAGTCTGATGCCTTGAATGTGCTCTTTTGGTTACTGACGTTTTACTGTACTTCGTCACGCGGACAAGATCGCGACCTTGATTAAGGCTGCTAATGTGCAAGTAGAGGGTTACTGGCCAGGACTTTTTGCCAAGCTTTGTGAGAAGAGTGTTGACGACCTTATCACAAATGTTGGAGGTGGTAAAAGACTTAGTTTGCTTATTGACCTCATTGTCTTTTTTAGTGCGACTTCATCTATTCGGTAGGATTTGGTGATATCAGTCAACTGCTGCACATATCCGTAGTCTAGCTATCACTAGACATTTTGTGTTTTCTCACTATATGCCATCGTGGATATTGGAAAAGGTGGTGGTGGTGGTGCCGTCGCTGTGAGCGCTGCACCCGCTGCAGCTGCCGCCGAGTCCGCTCCCAAAGAAGAAGAGAAGAAGGTACGGATAGTTTTGTTCATTCAGTAATTATGTGTCTAAACTAGTAAATGCACAGCGGTTATAATGTTTTACCCTATTTAAATTTTATGCATGTTTGGGTTTCCGAAGGTGAGATTACTACTTACCAAATTCTCACTCATTTGTTTCTGCTGGTGTAACTGAAGGAGGAGCTAAAGGAGGAAAGCGACGATGACATGGGATTTAGCCTGTTCGATTAGATACACTGTCTTCCCTACCATAGATCTCTGGTCATGCAATTTTGTTCCTTTCTTAGTTGAAGGGTATAATGTTCAGAGAAAGATTTTTATTTAAAATTTTTTCTTACTGGCAACGGTCAATATCCATTAAATGATCTGTGTGACATGAATGATCACTCACTTTTAATGAAGTGAGTACTTAAGGAATACTTCTTTGATAATTCTATGCATGCAGTACTCTAGCCAGTAATTTCTATCTATCCGTATGGAATAGTTTTTTGTGGATTTTCCTGGAAGTTATATGTGATACTTATTTGTGGTGCGCGAGGTTTTTTCGGCTCAACATGGGGACTTGTTCACAACTGTTAATGAATCATTTCCCTAACAGATACATCAACTTCAAATGATTCTACGTGTGAAAATTGCACATGTTGGACTACTCGAACTACATGTTCTGCCGTAGAACCTAGTGCCTTAGACCTTTGTAGATTTTGTGGCTGACATCAGCAGGAAAAGGAGGACGAGTTTAAATACTGCACCCATTTTACCATTTACAAGCCTAGTTTCTCTTTCTTTTCTTTTGAATTTTTACTTCAAATGTTAAGGGCAATTTTTTCATCATGATCTTGATTTTTGAAATTCCTCATATTTTAACAAATAACCTTTATAGTTGTTTTTCTCTCCAAGAAGCAGGAGCGAGGAGGCGCATTCTCGTGGTTGCCCGCCTGGTTGCCTCCCTGGTCCTGGGGATCAGCCACCTTCAGCGTGGTCTTCTATGGGAGCTGGAGGTGCTGCGCCTTCTTCTGCCTGCACTGACTCCTCATTCTCTAAGAGCAACGAGCTTATGAACTCCTCGAACTCTTCTTCTTGCAGGCCGTTCAAATCAGGGTCATAGGCTTCGTCTATGTGCATGGGGATGCCGGAGTCGTCCGTTTGCTGCACGGGGTTGCCGTCTTCTTCTATTTTTGAGGGGATGTCCAATTTCCCGGCCTGCGCGGCGTTACTTGTTTCCTCTGCTAGTGGCGGATTCCTGACTTCGTCCGCTAGTGTTTGGTTATCAGATCCGACGCGGTTCAAGGCGTTGTTGTGTTCTCCTGTTACCTTCAGCTTCATGTCAGCGTGTTTCGGTGTGTCATCGCGCTGGTCGCTCCTGAGTAGTGCTTGCATATTAAGTCGAAATTGGAACTGCTGCTGACACTCCAAGCACTGGAAACGCGGTTGCGAACGGCTTTTGTTGTTGTAGTACAAGAACCTGGCGTTGTTCAGCTCGTTGCACTTTGTGCACGTTTTATCGATGCCTAGCAATTCCGGAGGGTCCATGCCTCTGGGCTTGAGGTACTTCTTGCATTTGGAGCGGCCGTGGAGGATATGGGAAAAGAAGGCTTTACAGGCCAAGCATTGGTAGCGAGGCTGATCTTTCTTTCCATTGTTCAGGTACCTATACTTGCAGTTGTTAATTGAGCCACATTTAGTGCAGGTCTTGGAGAGGTGCACGAACTCCTGGGGTTCCATGTCAACTGCCTACTTCATCTCGGCAAGCTGTGCGTGCACTGCAGACAATGAGCATATGGGTTTGCAAAATCAGATGAGGCTCCGATTAGACAACACGCAGACCACAAACAGGAAAGAAAGCTTGCACTAGAAATGAGGAATAAGGTAGAGCTTGCGACAATGGACGTCAAACATTGGCCACAAACCCTGGCTCTACAGTGATACGACAAGAGCTATAGTGGTGCAGAGAGGAAGGAATAATGCGAGCAAAATGACTCGTAGATGTGGTTGATATATTTCAGACCCATGGAGGCCTGACTTTAGTCCCAGTTTCTTCCAGTTGAGACAAGAAGTTGGGGTCGGACTGGGAATTCCAGCGAAGGAATAATTGATTGAATGAATGAATGAGTGTCTTCGGAGGATGTAGGGATAGTTCCACATGTGCAAAAGTCCACGTTGACAAGAAGTTCGAATATGTGGAGGGCAAATATGTCTTCTGAAAGGCGTTCACTTTTACAAGCCATGATGGGTATGGGATGTTTTATTCATGTTTTCCCAACTGCGACGTAGTTTTGTATGGTTTTTCTCCCTCATCATGGAGCTTGGTTTGGTATAATTTTAAATTTCATCATATTATAATAGCTAAAGTCTTATACGCCTAGAAAAGTATTAGCATACCATTCCACAAGATAACACATAGATGTTTGACATCATTGCATTTAGAATAATATTCTTGATATTAAAAGCTTCTTAAAGGAGATAGAATTGCTTTTGGAATCCAACATATATGTTGACAATTTTTTTTTAAAGTGAGATTTTGAAGTTGCAATTAAATTTGTTTAGTGTAAATTGTACTTGATGGAGAGACATCCATTTGTTTGGGTATAATTTTTTGGTTCTTTCTCAACAACCTTGTAGCAATGTGCCTGTTTTCCTAGCAATGTTTGTTTTTGATTCTAAAATCAATGAAAATTTTATTAGTATTATTATAATTGTTATTATTTTGAACAGTATATGAAAAAACTTAAAAACTCTACATGAATAACATTTTTTTTTCTTTAAATATTTTTGAATCAAAAACAAACATTGAATTCCCAAATCCAGATACATGATTAAAGTAATTATTTTATTTTAAAAATTTCCCAATTTTCCAAATAAATTGTCCATTGAAATATGATATAACATACTGCTTGAAAATTTCAAGATAAAATATTTCTCAAATTTATGTTTCTAAATTTGTATATTAAGTTTTGGATATAAGAGTCTATCATGGATTTGTAAACTTTGTAAAATAGTAAAAAATCACTATTTGTACCAAATGATTTTAGTACACATTTGTTTTTTTAGTATAATTCAAATATGAACATTTTATTGTATTGTGAATATTTTTTATTATGTTCTTTTCAAACTTTTTTAAATCTTTATGAAAATAAACTTTTTATTCAACTATTATTTTTAGGATTTGTAATTTATTTATATCATTTTATTTTGATTGTAGACAAGTATTTACAATATTTTCTTTAGACTCTAATAGAAGTATTAGTAAAATTGGTTAATCCATTTTTGCTACAATTTCAAAATTAATTCTTCAAAATATCATATTTTATCCATTATACTCAACTCTTTCTTATAAAAATTTCATTGGATATATACTTAATATTGTATTATTGCATTAGACACTAAAATATAATCACAAATGTAAACTATACAATACATAACTAAAATAAGATCAATCCACTACATTTAATATAAAAAAAATTGAACAAATAATTTTTTTTTATAAATTATCTACATTTTCATGTACACAAATTTGTATTTATTAACACCACTCAAAAAGTTCCGTTGAATTGCTAAATATACAACTACTTGTCCAAATTCATTTTGCAACAAATCAAACAAATTCAATATTTAACAATACTATTGACATAGATGATTTCAATCAACTACCAAATAAAGAAACAATTACTTGATTTTCTTCTTCTACTCCTTTTTATTTGTTGTACAACATGATCCAATATGTGTGCTTTATCAATGTCACTCTACAAGAGGGGTGCATTCCAAAAGAGCTCTACAACATCAAAGTCAATGGAGTAGGAGTGAGGAGGTGCATTTTCTTAGTTGCTTGTCAAGTTACCTCCTTGGTCTTAGAGATCATCAGCCATGACATCCCCACCTTCAGCATGGTCTTTTATGGGAGCTAGAGGTACTGCGTAATATGTTGTGTTTTCTTCCATCTTTACTAATTTGTCACTGTTAAAAAGCAGCAACCTTATGAAGTTATGAAATTTTTCTTCTTGCAAGCTCTTCAAGTCAAGGTCATAGGCTTCTTCTATATGTAATGAGATGTCAAAATCATGCATTTGTTGCACAAAGTTGCGAACTTCTTCTTCTTCTTTTTTATTTGTGAAGAGATGTCTAATTTTTGAGAGTGATTGGCATTACTAGTTTCCTTCGCCAATGACGGATTCTTGATTTGGACCCAGATTTTTATGGTTTTTTTCTCCCTTAGCATAGATAATATTGTTAACATGATTTCAAGCATTTAATGTAAGTAGGAGGATTTGTTTTGGTACTACTATAGTCATTGTTGTAAGTACTATTAAGTGAGGTTAATTTTGAACATTCTTTGTAGACAATTGAATACTTTTGTGGTGGTTGAAAATTCTATTGTTGCAAAAAAAAGACCTACAAATGGTTGAAAACTTGCAAGCAACTATTGTAGTATTGTTTCAATCATGCTATTATATTTACATTGATAATGTAGCTATTGTATATATCCAAGGAGACATCAGCAAGTTTCTTAAATTTAATGAAAATGCAACCATTTGACTCTTAAGCTACAATGGTGGTATTAGCAAATTACAAGGTTTAGATGAGATGCACCTCATAGTTATGAATCCTAAACAAAAATATATTTTTGTCATTGTAAAGAATGTACATAGGATTCTTCAAGTACATGATACATTCTTGTCAACTGCAATCTTGTATAAGATAGGTTATAAGTCTAGCTTGGATAATAATAAAGTTGATTGGATCCCTCCCATTAAATGATTTATTTACATAAATAAATTCATTAGTAAAGCTTTTCTAATATTTTTTGAAATTGATGAAATTATTATTGATAATTTATATATCTTAATTCATATGCTCATCAAATGGCATCAAGTATTAGTTTATGCTTTGATACATATGATATAAGATGTGGAGAAGATGAATAATATCAATGGATTGGAGATCAAATGTGACAATGATAAGGTACATATATGTGAATTGTCCATTATTGATAAATCCCATAGGCAATCTTTTCAATACATGCATAAGTATGCCAATGATGTTTTAGATGTAATACTTTTTAATCTTTATTATTCTAATATAGCTACTTTTAGTGGCACCAAATGATTAATTGTGTAGATTGACAAATATTTTGGTTTTTGTAGTCTTGCATTTTTTCAAAATAAAGACCAAATAAATGCTATTTAGAAGATTAAAGAAGTTGAGGCACAAAAGAGAATCAAAAGAAAAGTAAAAACATTTTTTTATTGATCAAGGCATAGAATTCTTAAATTATAAACTTAATTTGCACTTGAAGGCTAAAGATATTTAGCATATGCTTATATATATATATATATATATATATATATCATTATTGACATTGCAAAGCATATGATACATGCCATCTTTTAAAGAAGACAAATATTTATAGATAATATTAAGTTAGATTGTTATTATTAGGCATTTGCTACTAAGTTTGTGACTTGGACTTGCAATTTCCTTCCACTTGGAAGAATTGGTGGTAAGATACCACATTTTCTATGGTAAAAAACCTCTTGTTAAATATGCTTGTTGTTTTGGTTGTCTTACTTAGTATGACATAACAAATGAGAATTATTGAAAGCTTGAGGCAAATACAAAGATTAGTATTTTAATATAATAATTAAATTTGGCCAAAAAATAAAAGACTTTCTTATATAGAGGCATAAAGATGATTCTTGGTCAAGTTGTGGTTTTATTTTATGACAATGATGAGTTGTTTTCTAAACCATCAATTCTTCAAGAAAATAGTAGAATAAATAGAGATTATAGAAACAAGATTCATTTGCTTAATCTTCAATACAAGGGTGGATTAAAAATAATTAAACTTTAGTACACTTTAATATAGAAAATTTCTATAATAAGTCATTAATGATATTATTTTTAATTACAATTATATATAGAAGCGGGAAATATTTGAATATCAAGACAGTGAAATAGAAGTTCCAATCTTCACTCACAAAATAAATGGTTGTGGTGTTGTAGCCAAAAATTACTCTCAATGACAAATAATCTATAATAAGTCCAAAACAAGAAATAATACTATCCTAGAAATGATGAAATTTTGAATTGCTAGCAACATATTCATTCTTTAGTGCTTTCCTTAGTATGCAATATCATAATATTTGAAAGTGCCAATGGAGTGTCTTTACAAGATTCTTAAACAATAGCTTTTTAACTATAGCAAATAATTATTTATTTTTTGGAATTTAAAGTATTAATATTTGAAGTACTTTAGAGTGTCAATAAGTGCCCATAATATCATACTAGTCCAAAGCTCATATATTGGATAACATTATTTGTATCCAATCTTAAGCAACACTACCACTCTTATTAATTTTGTGAGTGACTTTGAGGTGGCAAATAAGAATACGGCTTAAAGTTGATTGGGCATATGAATATTGTTAGCATTTTTTGATTGGTATTTTGTGGACATTGGACAACCATCAACAACTTTATAATAATTCCATATCTAGAACAAAGATTTCTTCTTCTATGTTGACTTTTGCTAAGAAGATGAGATACTTCATGATGTTGCTTGAATATTAGCTAGATTGTCTATATAAACATCTTAGTCATCTTTGAAATTAAAAATATTATTATAAACCTTGCAAATAAAAATAATTAGTGGCTAAGATATGTAAGTAAAATTATATAATCTAATAATAAATATATTGTTATTTTAGTATTTAATTATGTGTGTAAAAATCAAGTACATATCTATATAATAATAGAATTGTGTTTGTCCATCTATATGACAATATTGCTTAAATATATATATGTGTATGTATGTATGTATGTATGTATGTATGTATGTATGTGTATATATATATATATATATATCACAATTACAAGTTGCATATTTAAAACTAAACTTATACTTGATAAAACTTATATTTGTATGAATAAAAATGATTGCTTCAATTTTTAAAGTTATGGTAATAATATATTGTGTATTACATTTACTATTTATCAAGTTTGATAGAGTTGTATTGAATTCATATATTATATTTTTATATGTTAAAAATCCAAACTAAAGTTTAACTTCCTATTGAGTTTAAAATATCATAAAATAATGTAATTGTAGCAAAAGAATATTAATTTGACAACTATCTCAACTAAAAATGAATATTGCTATAAAAAAATATTTGTTATTAATTATGGAAATAGCTTTTTTAAACTCTATTTAATCAGTTTCTTTTGAATTATCTTTTATTACATTAAATTACTTGCTATTTTATCTCATGCTAATAAATTATATCATAATTTAGAAATTTTGGAAAAACATTTTACAAACTTCACATAAATTTTAATATTTACTTTTTTAATTAAAAATTATCTCTTCAGAATTCAGTAATGTTACACCTCCAATTTAAATGAAGAAAAAAAAAAAAATGGTATTTGATCATAAAGAGGACTTCTTTATGTATATGTTATTTATTTATCTTTTATTTTGTAAATTTCTTTGTTGTTTATCTTCTGCATGAAACCTGTCCCTTACTACATAGATAGGTATGATGATATACTTTAAGATTTCATCAAAAGATATAATGGCTTGTGAAGATGAAGTGACTTCAATGAAGGCTCTAACAAAAATGTGCCAAAACAAATTAAGGAGGGAAAAAAAGAAAAAAAGAAAACGGAAAAAGAAGAAAAAATTACATTAATTTTAGTTTCAGTTATGAAAAGAATAATCTGCAACGAACTACCAAATGGAAGATGGTGTTTATGTATTTTGTTATTTAATTGTGGAAGTCAATGTGGGAAAAGAACTAATGAACGAAGTTGTGTATGTACTTTTAGGTCTAGAAAACTTTTAAAGTAGTTTAGCAAACTCCGTTCATCTTGTGAAGGGCGGGTTTCTTGCCGTGGTTGTCTTTGCTGTGGCTGTGGTGGTGGCTATGGCTACGGCCGTGGTGGCTATGGCTATGGCTACGGCCGTGGTGGCCATGGCCATGGCCGTGCTGTTGCTTCTTCTTCCCTCCGTGGTGCCCTTCGACGACGATATCGTTGAACGCTGCAGTGGCCTTCACTGCGTCGGGAGTCGTTGGCAGATCGAGGTTGGCTTCTCTGTTCTCTTGTGCGACGGCCGCAGTCACGACCTCTATTAGCTTCGGAGGACGGGCGTCGAAGTGGTCTAAAACACGCTTGATGTCGGTCACGAGACGATTTGCTAAAGACCGGCTAAAATCCTCCCGCACCACGACACGGAGGAGAGTGACGTGCTGCGCATCGGGCGCCATGGTGTACGCGGGCACGGTCCAGCCATAGCGACGAAGGCCGTCGGAGATGTCGAACTCGGTGTAGTTGCTGCTGTCCAAGAGGGAGAACGCTACTAAGGGGACACCGACTTCCTTCGATAAGATCTTAAATCGGCCAAGGTTCTCAATAGCTTGTGTGAGTATTTTGGCATTCATGGCGCAATTTGTCATAATACTCTTGTATCCATTGAATCCGAGACGAATGAGCTGATAGTATTGTGCGATAACTTGGCTCGCACCTTTGGAGAAATTCAATGTGAACGTAGGCTGGTCTGCGCCGAGGTAGTTGACATGAAATATAAGCTCCTCGGGTAAATCCTCCTTGTTCCTCCACACGACCCAGCCAATGCCGGCGTAGACGAGGCCATACTTGTGTCCACTCACATTGATGCTCTTCACCAGTGGAAGCCGGAAGTCCCATACAATGTCCGGGTATATGAACGGGACAACGAAACCTCCACTTGCGGCATCAACGTGAATTGGAACATTCAACCTGATTGATTGGAAATGACGCTCGTTATTTACAAGCATTGTTGTTAAATCAATGCAATGATTGAACACGATGACAATACTGGCACATATACAAGCATTGTAATTAAAAATGAACTCTACTGCAAATAGTTTTCGGAGCTTTTTACCCTAGTTCCTGGTTCTTTTTCTCTAGCAGATCATTAAGCAGCTGCACATCTTCAAATTCGCCATTGTACGTCGATCCGAGGATAGCACACACACATATCGTGTTCTCGTCGACGAGTTCGACTGCTCTGTGTGGATCCATAACGTAGTAGTCTTCTTTGAGAGTTACCTCTCGGAGCTCCACTTCGAAGTATCTTGCGAACTTCTCCCAACACACCTACACAAACCGAACGCTGATATTGTAAGTGAATTTCTAATAACAACAAAGGGTTTCCTTGGTCTTAATCGCTGTCCGTTGATTTTTTTAATTTTTTTAATTTTTCCCTTAGAGATAGGTTTGGAAAATGTACCTGAACATTAGCACCGGTGACCATGTTGGGCTTGTCCCAAGGCTTTCCAGCTGCTTTACGCTCAAGCTGCCATTTCCGCTTGAATGCGAGACCAGCGAGCATGATAGCCTCAGATGATCCCACTGTACCAGCTCCGACAGCTTGTTCACCTTCCCCAATTGGTGCATTGAACAAACGGGCGACCATGTTCACGCACCGGTCCTGCACAAATGGATGTCAGTACTGATCAATTCCAGGGTAATCATCCACTCTGCCTGTGTACATTGCAGATCATCCAGCTTCAGATTTGTTGAGGTTTCCTTCAAGGCCGAACTTTCTAATATCAAGCCAGACTTTGCGAAATGAATGTTTAGTCGTAGAGTGCAATGCACTCAAAATGGCAATGACCAGTGACAGAAATCTACAGCCGTAACCTCCGCAATTGAGTTTCTGAAGAGGTAAAGGGCTAAAACCTGAAGCTCAGTGGTAATCGGGTACTCGTCCATGTCAATGTAGTTCTTGTTGAGGGCCGCCATGATGAGCTTGTCACACTCTGGCTCCATCCATGTCGTCACGAAGGATGCTAGATTTAAGCGAGGATTGCCGTCCAACATGAGCTCATCGCTGATGATTTGGTATGCAACATCCTTGGGTGTTTCCTGGGTGGGAATTTCGAACCTGCAAAAGATTGCATGCTCAGCATAATGCTGCTCAAGGCACTGGAAACAGACAGGAACTCACAGTTCAGGTGTCTACACAACATGGTTTGCCAGATTGGAAAACTGCGGACTGATCGCTCTAAGGTCTCTACCGCATACTAAGTGGAACTTGAAAGCTGTTCTGGAAAACCATCTGCACCACAGCTCGCCAACCCAAATTCTAACGATCGTAGGTTTCTCGAAACATTCTGGCAATCGATGGAGGAAGAAGAAAACATTTACCGACTCACCTAGGAAGCTCAGCCTGAGCATATCTAGAGGCAAACATGGAGTCAATCGTATCGTGGCCCTTCGTCTCCTTCATGCTCTTGCATATTGATAGCACCATCTTGCTCTGTCAGATACTCCTAACCCTTCTCACCAAAATGGACTTGCTACAATCTCCGTTGAGACTTGAGATTCTGCAGCCGGGGTATTCAGTTGCAATAACTTGTGCATGAGACTTGGAGATGGTGCAGATCCGGGGGAGACGGTCAGTTATTAAAGTTATTGAAGTGGCGGGTTACTCAAATAAACTGAAGCTGAAAAGTTGGAGAATCGCAGGCCCTCCTGTGCCGGATCGGGAGGGCGAGGTAATGCTTCAGCGACTTGCAAGCTACCTCTGGATGCAAGCAACTTTTCGCAATCCAGAATCTAGGATAAGAATATAGTAGGTAGCGAGGTGTGCATTTCCTCTAAATCGGACAGAATTATGATTATTCGTCGAGAGGAAAGGTGAACTACAAGTACTGTGATAGTGAGTAGCAGACTGATGACGAAAGCGAGTAGCTGTCCACTTTCAAAACTCCTTGACACTGCAAAAAATAAATAAATCAGACCAAGGACTAGGAATATCAAATTACACTAGTGAAGGAGCAAATCAGGTGGCCCAATCCGCGAAGCAAGCATTTCATGTTCTTGGACTGCAATATAGATCGGGTCTAGAGATACCTCTCCCCTACAACACAAGAAATGCCTCAAAAAGTTATATTCTACGAACGCACGTGCGAAGACTCGGCAAGAAGATAGCGAGTGATCGAAATCATCAAAAGCCAAGTAGGGTAACTTGTATTTGCAAATGCGGATGTGCGTGGTTGCTCCAAGTGGACGCCGTCAGAAAGGTCCCCACACATAGACCCAACTTCCAAGTCCGTAACCGGAGCATACGGATAGCGCAAACGAGGAAAGCGTTGCGTCTGTGTGCTGCTGTGCAGTAATGGAGGCGTGACTCTCACTGGTGATCAGGACTGTGGATCCCCACACGGCGAAGTTATTATTAGAACTTCCGAGAAAGGCAGACAAAGGATTGCGACGATCACCGTCCTGAGGGCAGTGCTCCCACGAGCACCCCAATCCCCCTTTCCAAAAGGTGCACCCACAAAACCAAAACCCTCGTCATCTTGGATGGATTGCGTTCGTCGCTCGCTCCCTTTCGTTAGAAAGATATGCAGATTCTGTTCGTCGTTGGCTTCCTTTCCTTGGACGAATATGAAAATTTCGTTCTATGTTTCGTTGTTTAGATAATTTTGGGGTTCCGTTGCCTCCCAAGAAATATCAATAATGCCGCGTGGTTCGTTGCAGGAAGTCGCGGTAATGGTACTCAAAAGGAATTTATGGGCTGCTTTTCTCTGTTGTTGTCTAAAATTGGATTACTTTATTGATTTTTCGTTTTCACATTTATTAATAAGGAGGGAGATTATGCTTCATTCTGCGTGTGAAAGGAGGGGGTGGGATGCGGTTTTTATTTTTATTTTTAATTTTTTGTTGGAGTGTTCATGTAACTCATTGTAGTTGTTTGGGTTTCCCCTTATGTCATCCTTTAGCTTTGGAATTTTTATTACTAGAATATCCGATCTAAAAGTGGCCACTGAGTGGGCTTCAAAATACCTATGCTTCATGATATGAATTTTCTGCTCGTTGCTCTGCAAAAATAATAATAAATGAACAAAAAGTGTTTTGTATTGAATAACTCACTTTTCTTCCCTCTTAAGGATAATGCTTATTGAAGAATGTTTTTAAAAGATTTTTTATTTATATTTTTATGAGTCCTTAAAAGTTTGTTATTCACAAGTTCTGTTTATTCTTCAATGTGTACCAATGTATCCTTTACTCTCTCTTTTCTGAAGCAGAAATCATTATTGAAAGTTGTGTCGCAAAGCTCACATATGACAAAATTTCTGAAGGGAGATATAAAATGTGAAGGTGCAAAATTAGGAGAAAACTGTATCAATACACTAAAATATTCGTGTGGCTAATAAAATATGAAAATGGCAAGTGGATTTGATACTGGTGTAAAACGTGGTACGTAGATACTGGTGTGGTAGGTGGATACTGGTATGATGATATTTGATACTGATGTTGTAGGTTGTAGGTGGATGTTTCGTAATTTAAGAAGAAAAGAATCGCTACTGTAAGGTGTAGGTAAGAGCTAGTGGAAAATATAATTTAAATAGATAAAAAAAACTTTCCTAATTTTTTAAAATTAATATTATAAAAATATTTACAATATTCTTGGATGTTGAGCTTTTAGACGTAAAAATTTACCCAATAAATATTAACATGTTTATGTGGATCAATCTATTGATTCTTGTGAAAGATGGCCAAAACCATTGTATATATAAGTATGATTTTTTATTGTTTATTTTCACTCATAAAATCTACTATTTAGGTTATTATTAAATTATTAATTTTGTAAAATATATATATATATATGAATGTAAATAGGCTTATAAAAAATTACATATCTAATAGCAATTAAAAAAAATCAAGAAAAATATACTTATAATTAAGAAGCTATTAATATGGCTATTGCTAAGTTTGAAAAAGTCAAAGAAATTTAAACTAGAATCATAATAATAATAAAAATTAATATTGTTTAAGATTAAGAAAGATCTTAGTCTTATATAAGCTAGCAAAGAAGATGTATAGAAGTTAAAAGAATTACAAGGCTTATTGGCTGAGGGCCTTCTTCCATGCTTGATAGGTGGGCAAAATTGAAGCTAGAATACAAAACTCTCATGTAATTTTTTGACACATCATCAATTTTAGCAATAGAGCTGGTAGCTCATTTTTAACCAGCTTTGGAGAGCAAAAAAGATAGGTGGAATAGTCTACAATATACCATATATATATATATATATATATATATACTTTGTATCTTAGAATCTTTTTTGATGATTTAAAAAATATATATTTTCTACTTGACAATATGGTGTTTCTACTACAATGTCTTACACCATGATATCCATCCAATTTAAAAATAATTTGTGTTGGTGTTTTTAAAATTTATTTTTTAATACTATATTATGCAGTTTTAACTTTTTATATATATGAATTCAACATAGATTTGATTGAATTAAAATTTTCAACATAAAATTAATCTTTTACTTTGTACAAATGTTGAATGTACTGAAGTTTAAAAACAAGCATATATAATGACTAATTTCAATTAGAAGTTTATTATACTACTCATCCTCTTTTTAAAAAATATTATTTAAAAACAAACTATTTTTTTTGTTTGTATTTAACTTATCTTTCATTTTTTAATTTTATTCAATATTATAAAGAACATCAGAATATATTATATAGACATCATAGTTCTTGAAAATTTATCAACTTTACATCAATGTCTTCGAAGAACACAAAAATACCAAACTTTATATTCATTTTCTTGCCTACATTTGTTGTCTATCTTTCTATCTATAATGTTAAAAGAAAAGAAAAGAAAAGAAACGAAAAAACATCAAAAAATAAAATGATTGTCACAATTTTCACAAGTTAAATATCTCATAAAAATTGTCTATAACATTACCTTTGAAAACATCTACATGTATTGATACAATACCAAATAAAATCCAAAATTATACATTCTATTGTTAGTTTTGAAGTAACTAATATTGCAAATGTCTAACTGTTGTAACGTAATTTTGTACAAGTATACAAATAAGTAAATAAATATTAATCTTCACTTTCAGTTGATGCAATAACAAATGGACACAAGGGAAACTTTTAACCACGCTAACAAACGGATGAAACAAGCGAATGGATGAAGCCAACGAATTGAAGCCTGTAATTTGGGTTTAGGGTAATCTTGTGGATTAAGTGATGTTTAACGAGTGATGGTGATATGAGTTGTCAGTTGAGGTGAGAGTTCATTAGGCGTATGGATTAGATTTAGAGTTTAGGGTTGCAATCAAGGAAACATGTTCACCACGCTGACTACTGGAGTAATGGTAGCAAACTGGATTGATTTTGTCTGCTTGTTTCAGTGGCGGCGAAAATGGATTAGTCTTGCACATGCACTCTCTGACACCGCTCAGTGTAGCATTTAGAACTAGCTCCGTTAATTGTAAGAAATATGTTACTTTGAGTAGCGTTGAGAAAGATACTCGGATCAGAAGGATCTAAACATGTGGTCACTAATGCCATTAAAAAGAACTTTCGTTTCTGCAAAAATTTTCAAAATTATTTACATACAAATATATATATATATATATATATATACATGTGTGTGTGTGTGTGTGTGTTTAAACATAGAGCCAGTGAGCGAGGGAGACTCTCAGAGAGAGAAAGAGAGCATTTGTTGCCTATATCAATCCAGATTCCTTCGGCCCATGAGGGAGCGATGTGAAGGAATATTCTACAGGGCACGTCCAACATCGTCTCCACTATGTAATCGCTCCTGAAGACCTCTATTCAGTGTTAAAAGCACAATGCAATGTAATATGAAGAAGAGAGTTGTTTTTATTGTATAATTGTGTAATATATCAATCTGTTTGAACTATGCTTCGAGCATAACAATTTGATTTTTCCAAAGTGATTTAATACCATTATTGATATACTTATGTTCCGTGTATATACTATGATCTATATCCTTACTATGCCTGCTGCCATGACTAGATATTGATACCATGAACAGGTGTTGATACCTTGACCCTATGGGTCTGTCCATGGTTATAATCTTCGTCCTTGCATTGGAGGGCATTGGTGGTTCTCAGGCGAGTAGGAGGGAAACCCTAGGCGCTAATTTTCGCCTTAGAAGGACTATCTCGTCTCTCAAGGATTTTATCTCACTTAATCCAACGCTGACAAGAAGTTCACCAATCCAAGTTCTACTCACCCATGTCAAAGTTCGCCATTCGAAATCAATCAGGAGTGTCTAAGGGGAAATGAGAGCGAGATTGAAGGAAGGAAAGGGGCAGGCTCAAGAGGCTCACGTGAGGAGAATTTATGAATCTCATTGGAATAATGAAGACCCATAATGCACCGTGAATCGTGATAAACAATTTCATATTGCACTGCGAATCTTAGTATCTGTGATTCTCTAATATGTATGGATAATACAGAGAAGTTTCTGCCTCCTGGTGATGATGATAAAGGAACCACCATATTTGTATAACAAAGGAAGAAAGAGGCAGCAATTTAAGAATCAGCTTGAATTGCGATCCTAAACATATGCTGAGTTGACCTTCAAAACTCGCTGATCTGATCAGTTGTTGCACGTCACAGTAGATAGTTCTTTCAAACTTTAGAAAGAAGGAGCTAAATTGTTAAGGAGTTTCATTGGCAAGAGCTGCAGAACTTCCTAGAGTGGCACTAGAAGACCAGATGTTCTCCATTTTCGTGGTTGCCAAGCTCTAAGCCAACCTCTCAAACTCTTGTAGTAACAATTCAATCTCAACTACAGCACACTAAATCGCATATCTGCGATCTGTTGTCTCTGTTAGACTCAACCCACATTTGAAACTAATGTTCAATTCAATTCTCAGATATCACTGGAGAAAAGCAATCGCGTCCAGCGTGGTGGTGATGGATGTAAGGAAGGATTTGGGATTTGACGGGAGTGATTGCAGCTTTCCAATGTTACGATATGGACGTGATCTTGCTCTAACAGAGTGTTGAGCAGTTTTGTTACCATGTCGTGGACAGCGGTGAGGCAAGTACCCTGACGCGGCGGCTACGAAACATCTTTCGTAGACCATCAGCATCTACCAGCGCCATTACAGTCTCTGCCACTAAAATCTAAGGTACATGCACGATAGTGTCATATTCTGGTATAACTGCACAAATCAGTCACGGAACAGAGACCAGTTTTATCTTTCAATGGGTACGGAAAGCTTGTAACCACTGTTAGATGAGCTAGAATTGCTGCTTACTGCTGTACAACAAACAATCCTTATCGTCGGAACCTGTTTGTTAAGATGTCAAGCAAATCAGTTTCAAAAATGGTTATCCGACGAGGAGCAAAAAGGACCTGCCAGACCAGTAACCAGGGAATTTATCATGAATTGTATTCTTCGGCCTGATTAATGTAAATTGAGTTGCTGAATGGGTTTCCATTTTGTAGACAGACCATTTTGCTGCGTCCATAGTTGGAGCCATCTTGCACAAAACTACCGGTTTCCTACTGGATTTTAGTGTCTCCTGTAAGCTAGGCCTTATCTAGAATAGGATGCGTCTGTTTTTTCACTTGCTGTGGGTTTCCACAGCTGATCATCTCAACGAAACAACCCTATTAATTGTGCATTGTCAAGACGATTGGGTTGTGTTGGACCTCCAGCTGTGAGCGTCAGAGTTTTCCTAACTACAATTTTATCATCGAGAGTCAACCGACCGTTGTTTCGGTATTTATTGGAGTTAGACAAGTTTCGTTTTAAATGCTGTTCTTTCCTGCACCCAATTAGAATCTGCACAGAAGGTTTGTCGATTAGATTACAAAGAAGACGCAATTCCCGTCGTATTTCATGCAGCACGGACTGTTACACAGAAAAGCTACGTTAATTCTCTACCCTTTTAAAAATGAGGTCAAATCGTATTTCTTACATATGCAGGCGTTATTGGTAGCAGAGAAGTATGTGTTGTTCCACTCTTCGTTGAATATCGGATACTCTGTCGCTCAATAATAATCAACATTAGCTTCCAGAGTAGTTCAAGGGAGTGGAACGCTGTACTTAAACAAGTTGAAAACAGTCAGTCTTATCTCAGTGGCTAGGGACTAGCTTTAACAATAAAAAAAAAGTCAAATTTCATAAATCTGATTTTGATGAGACTTCGACAATGCAGCATAAATCTGTGGCCGAATGGAAGCGTCAAGGAACACATTAATTTCTCAGAAATAACACCCACGTGTTCGGATACAAGAATTCGTTGAGCGATTCTTATAACTGAAGGGGCATCGAAATATGCACAGAACAAAACTATGACAGAATTAGACACGCAATTCACAGAATGGAGTGTTTGGCAGTAACAAAACTTAGTTCTACTCATTCTGCACATCCCTGAAGAAGATGCAATCCAAATGTGTGGATGGAACAGAAGTCCAGTTCCCTCCAAATTCATAATCACAGATTTCCATGACCCACTTCGATCCGGAATTATTCACCATGCACAGTGACTTATTCTTGGAGTGCGCACAGAGCAGATATAGCCTAGTTCAACATGTAGACCATCTACATGCAGAAATAAAAACTAAATTGGAGTCAAGGATCTATGCCACTTTTTCAACGACTTTCCTCACAAGGTAACTCAACATGCTACAGATCCATGACTTCGGCATCTCCTCAAAATCGATGCAACTTGATCAGTCCTACACACCACGCAAGCACATCAAGCATTCGCGCTTTTCATGCGAACGGTCATATAAATGAATCTGTATTTGTGAACCTTTGAGTCTCTGTTTGATACTGAAATGTGGTTGAATGATCGTAACACGTCACATTCAGAGAGTACATCATTTTATATTCCACCTTATTTGGACTGCACTTCAATTCTTTCCTTCAGGGAATTGTGAAGACCATCAAAGGCTATGAAATCGTATCAGATCCTGCTTTCCTAGATATTGAGTGAGCGAAGCATTGAGGGGTTGTACTCTCTACGCTACGTCGGTCCCTCATGGCCTTCAAGCCCCACATGGAACAGGCAGACGATGATGATTGAACAGTGCACACAAGAGAATTAAAACACGGTTTAGAGAATCACCAAAAAACTTTCTCCTCGCGAAGTCTCTTCTTCGGGAATGAATTTTTATTAGCTCCACATTAGCCATTGCAACGGCAACAAAAATTACGAACTAAAAATTCTACATGAATCCTACTTCAGTAAATCCACAGGTCGCTTAGTAGTTTGCATGCCGATCGTGTTCGAGAGCCATGGAATACTGACAGTGAAAATTATGAATTTGAGCTCTCACAATTTTGCTTCAAAATTATTTCACGTGTAACGTAGCATGTCAGAGCTGCATGACGGCTTTTTGCTCTCCACTGTAAGACGACCGCACTCATGGTCTTTCATTCGACAGCTCCGATGCCACCTGTTTGAGTCCACTACTCTGCCCTTCCCAGTGAGTCATATCTGAACTGGAGCGACGCAATCCACGACCACACACCCTGACCCACTGTAATTAACCAACGTATCCCCATCACTCATGGCCCCACCTGTATCCTCTCACACCATTAATGAGGTATGAGAGGTACTATTCCAATCCACCACACATTCGTAGGTTGTGGGGCATGTGGGGACATCATCTCGGTCGATCCACACAAACTGGGGTCGTCTGTCAACTTCCGTCTCCGCTAACTGAATCTGCGACTAGAATTCGAGCTGAACAGTGGGCCATGCTATGAAAAATGGGAGCCAATGCGCAGGGACTCCTGAAGAAAAGCCCAAGAGCTCCTCACAGGGACCTCTGCGTGGGAGAAATCTGGCGTATCACTTGGAATATTACTCCGAAACGACGTATGTTGAAGTGTAGTTTGGGGTGACATCTCACCTATAGTGCAGTGGACACAGAGCTGTTGAGCAAGCGACGCGGAGGTCACATGCTGTTCATCATTGCTCTGTATCATCCTTCATGGTTGGAAAAAACAAACAAACAAATGTTGGGTTGCTGGAGAGTGACGGTGTCTTTGAACTGTTCCTTGGCACGTTCTAGACTGTGTCCTTGACCACTGGAAGCATGTCTTCCCATACTATTTGTGTTCATCTACACAAACAAAAAAACAAAAAAAAACAAAAAAAAAAACAAAAAACAAAAAACTTGATAGTAGAGTATCGAAACTTCCATTCAGTGATCGGCGCTGCGAAGCCCAGATTCCCGGAGAAGATGCCATTTTCAAATCCGATTAATGGATGGTGTTTCGTTGATGAATTACAAGTTTTATATCTGAAGAAGCTAGCACAGGAACATAAACAGGAAACTATTATATTACAGACAGGCATTGGTTTCCTTTGACCGCGTCTCACAAGGCATTCACAGCCTAACCGAGGACTTCAATATGACTGGACCGGGTTTATCATGCCGACTCTCACGTAACTTCCCAGACTTCGATGCGATCATACACATGTACACTGGCTAGTGCATTCCTGCCACATCACTACTACAAAATTAATCACAAGAAACAACTCATTTATTCCGGAGAAATCTGTGCCAAAAACCAACTCAAATGAACAGAAATATGCAAAGGGAATTTTTCCACTAATTGTCCATCTACAGTGGTCAATCTTCACAATGGTATGGAATGACAGGAGAATCAAGCATATTTCATTTCCAGGAGTCAGCACGGTAACTCTCATTATTTTCATCTGCTTATGCTACCCATACAATTTATTAAGAAATGGTTCTTCTGCCAAATACTGCAATGTCACAGGACTATCCACCATTGTCGAGTCGAGAATAGCAACACGAATTTACTGCTGTAAACATTCGGGAAGTTTGCTGTGCACACATTTTTGCGACACATTACTCAAATGGAACCTTGTTATGTCACGTCTGACAAATCTAGCGTTTGCCGGTTGCTACCACAAATCCAACGTGGCGAAACCTATTGCAAGGTTGCAAAAAATAAAAAAAGAAGAAAAAACAGAAGGAAAAAAACATGACGAATATTAGGTGAAATCAAGCTTCTCTCGACCTTTCTTCAGCAACCACAGATATGAGGAACTTGCACATCCTACATGAGTGTAGGGAATTGACGTACTGAATTGGATAAATTAGATCTTCTTAGTTAACCCAATCAAGAAGTTTCTGTTTTCAGGGCGGTGGTGACAGAAGCTATCTTGTCAGCTTCCGACAATCAACTCTCACGCATGCATCTTCATGGTTCTCAAGGTGTGTACAACTGCGGTAGCTCTGCCAAAGCAATTATGTGTGTTCCCCCAGCAAGGCCAGCCTGTTGAAAAGAAGACTTGCACATCGACAGGTTCGAATGTGTGTACAAATAATTTGTCAGGGACCAGACAGCTGCTATCCACTTATGGGTTGGTATTTACGCTACCCTCCCCCTTTTTTACTGTCAACGCACTCATGGCTCCGCCTCTAAAAAGTGTTTCATTGCCTACCTCGACCTAGGAATCACTCAAACCCTCTCATGGAAAGCTGAATTCCGGTGAGGCGACAATTTAGTAATTCTGGAAATGTCAGGAGTGAACGAAGTCCATCGCGGGGCCCTCATCACATGGGCATCATCACACGGGCCACGGAGTTGCTCTGGACCTGTACCCCCCCCCCCCACCCCAATTGTATCTTTGCCACTGCCCCTTAGTCTGCCTGGTATCCTCATTGCATTATCAAGTTTGTTGCAGTTGAGATAGAACGAGAAGAGAGCAAAGACGATTTTTCAGTTGGGTTGTACCACGCAGTCTGGATATGACCTGCTGCGCAGTTTCGTCAAATCTTTTGTTGCATAAAATCCAGAGCCTTGGAAATGGGATATGGCGAGCAAGGACATTATTAATCCGGGCAGTTCATGCTGTAAACTGTGCAATACTCCAAACGGATCCTGTCAATTTCCCAGCATGCTGGTACTCATTTATTAATCGCCAATGAATGTCTTTGCCCCCTTTTGTCTTCCAGCAGATTTGATGGCTAAGTTCTGGATGTCTTCACACCACTGCCAAGGCCTTCGTTCTCCATCCTTAGTGTTTGTCTGTATTTGATAGTATTTCAACCATTTCTCACTGAAGTGATCTTCATGGTGAAGATTCTTCTATGAGAATCCTTCTCAACTAAGCTTAAGGAGGGAAATGTGGTGATCAGTTCCTGAGAGATGTCTTTCCTGTAGAGACTGGTAACGTTACTGCCTTGGTAATAGTTAACGTAAAAATGTCTAAAAACAAGTGATGATTGCCTGCAAGCTTTACATCAGAATTCTGAGTCGAGCGTTCTCACATGCTTTCTCGCATTTGTTGGCTCTTTCCACTGCTGTCGTCCCATTGCAAAGCTCAACATTCTTCTTCTTCCTTTCTCTCTTTCAGTAAGACTCGTCATCTGTCCTCCACCTCGAATGCGAGAGAACCTGATTATGGTCGACTGCTCCCCGATTGCTTTTGGATTTTATCTCATTGTGAGCTATCCAGGATTTTGAAACCTACCGTGACTCACAATTAGATGATGCCTGTCTCAGTGCAGTGACTCCAGGTTGCAATTAGCGTTACGTACGTTGGGATATTTCGTGTAACCCCAGGCATGGTCAGTGTGAAGGCCTCCTCACGCCACTTTCCCCCAGATGGATGACGATGGGCTCTGAACAATGAAGTCATAATCCTGCGACTTTGCTCAAAGTTCTGGGATCGAAAGAGTATATGGCAATGTGGAGAAAGATGGCTAAATTGTTCACCACGCCCATCGAATTTTGCAAGTAGAAGTATATGTAGATTTAAACAAGGGAAAGGAGTTTTTTGCAGCAGTTGTTTCCTTTCTAAGAAGCAGCAAACTTGTGAGAATTCGTGTAGAGAAATAGGATTCTAGGGAAATCATGATCTGGAGCCAACAGGGTCAAATTATGCAAGAAAGGGGCTGAACCTAGAAGCTGTAGAAATGCGTGGAAGTATGCGATGCTGCTGATGCGCGAGTTGAACCAGACAATTGGTAGTGTCTTCCTCGGAAACATAGAAATGATAGTCTTATAACTTCGGTAGAGAAGCCATACAATGAAGAAGAAGACGACCTGGGCGGCCACAGTGGTGAAGAAACAGCTGCAGACATGCTGCAAACACCAGGCGTTCTCAGTGGAGACCACGGAGAGGGATGACACTTCTCAAGGGTTTGAGTCCCCCTCGCGAGTAATTCACATATCTTCTCCCATAAAAGAGGCGGTCAATCCTATCCTTCTCAGACGCAAATCATTCAATGTTTCGCACGCAAAAAGTCTGTTGACGACCCCTGAGCCACTAACTCCCTTTAGAAAGTCAGTTGAATCTGCCATTCCTCTGTGTCGATCCTCGACTTTTAAGTCGACAAGGCTGCAGAATGACAAATCGTCACCGCATCTCGTCACAGCTGCATCGCAGGAGGCACCACTGGGAGCATCGAAGGGCAAAGTCCGCCACAAATCCGGACCACTTCCAGTATTGCAACAATTACTCAGAGGGGGTCTTCAGGGTGGTATCATCTCTTCGCCTTTGAACGTGAAAAAGCAGCTCTCAGGCCCGCTTCCGAGCGCTCATCGCAAACCCTTGAGCGGGGCGCCATCACCCAAGCAATCCACCGGCAGACCATCTCCGCAACGTCTTTCAAAAGTGAAATTCTCTCCCATACCAGGTGAAGCCATCGGCGGTGGCAGGATTTCTGACATGATAGCGGAGGAAGAAGCTTCCAAGGTGACGCAGATTGTGGTTTTGAAGGTGAGACAGCCAATCACTCCTGTGCTTGATAAGAAAGGTCCTAGAAAATCCCGAAGTTCGAAAAGTGAATGCAATCCTCCTGCAACATTTCCTGAAGTGAAATTGGCGACGAGGGTCGTAGAGAACACTCCAACCGCAGCTGTAGTCAGTGAGTTTGAACATCCAAGAAAAGACGATTCAATTCATGTTGCACAATTCGAAAATCTGGATGTCAGGAAAGCCGACGCTAAGATTAAGGGCGACACAGCAGAGTGCTTGCAGAAAAGGTTGGTTTCTGCCGCTGTGGCGATTCAGGCAGCATATCGAGGCCATCGAGCTCGGAAAAACCTCGATGGCGAGCTGCAAAGGAGCACCAACCCTAGTGACGACACCACAGAAGATGTTTTAGAGGATGAGGTAGAACCGGCGCCGTCAATCAGCACGCAGATGTCAAGAACAGACCCTCAGAAGCAAAGAAGAAACCCACCTCCACGAGTGAACAAAAGATGGAACGGGAGCATTCGCTCGGCGCAAGATCATCAGGCCTTGCTCAGGAGCAGACAAGAAGCAGCTCTGAAGCGTGAGCGAGCGATGGAATATGCCCTTTCAAGGCAACGTTGGCGAACAGGCTCAAAACCATTAAAAGGACCAGCAGCTAATTGGCACACAGACGATCGACTGCCAGATAAACCGGGATGGGTGCGGAACTGGCTTGATCGCGCCACGAGAATGAGTGGCCACGAGAACAAAGTTTTCGACAACAACTTCGAGCAGAATTGTGACCCACAGAGTGATAGCCTTTCCATGAAGAGCACGGTGGGAATGTGCACCACCGACATCGGTAGCGTGGAGCACATAAACTTGGGCTGGCCTCTGTCCCTTCGACAACAACATGCTGCGGGAATGCTACAGCCAAAGGCTCCAATTCTTGAGCCAGAAGCATTGCGAAACGGAGCTTCACCCTCTCCAGCACCGCAGCACCCAAAAGGTGCAAAGTTTTCACTGCTGGAGGAGAAGCGTAACCACGTCGGTGAGGCTCATGGGCACTTGAATCATAGGGAAGACTCGTCCACCGGCACGACTGAGAGCGAAGTCTTCACCCCCGCGAGCCATAAATCTCCACACAAGCTGATCAAATTCAGGAACGAAGCACGCAAACTTGAATTCTTGGGTGATGTTCACGGTGACGACACCGATCTGGAGAGCGTGGGGAGCTGCGAAGGTGCAGTTCCGACTCTAAACAAAGTGCCATCTCCAGGCGTTGGTACAAATCCACGGATGCAGCAGGGAGTGCAACCAAACAAGACCTCCAACTCAAATTCGTTGAAAGAAGCTGCCAGACGAGAAAAGCTGCTTTCTCTTCAACTGCAGACGCAAATTTCTGTCGTTCTCTCAGACGGTGATTCTGCGGATACGACCGCTGCATCAATGCAGCAGCCATTTTGGCGGCCTTGATGTACTTCTGCACATTGTAAGTAGGCTAACCCTTTTCGCTCAGCCTTACTTCTAATCTACGTCCCTCCCTCGAAGTGCCAAGACATCCTTCGCTGATACTGCTTTTCTGCGAGGCTATAACCTTGGGGCTTCCGACAGATTCCCTGCCATCACTGGACTTTTTCTATCTCCGGCATGAAATATTATCAGCAATGAATTCTGGTCTGCCTCTCTTTCCAGAAACCTCCGCAACCTCGGGATTCAGCTGAGAGCATCCAGAAATGTTTGATGTAACTGATACCTTTTTTGTCGACGTAGGTGTGATTGGGCTCCATCCAATCAATTCTTATTTGGACTAGGAGCAGACAACTCGAAACCAATAAATCGATGTAAGTTGGAACGCTCGGTTCAGCCGGTACATGACAGACAAGAGTTCGCGGAGTAAGTCAGGCTATCCGAAACAGTCCCTTCAAGCTGGCTTGCAATTTTATTGAGGCGGAGTGGGGAATCTGTAAGCAGAGAGGCTCAGGGTGGAGGACATGAATTGATTCGCACACACGCGAAGAGAACCAACAAATCAGAAAGGTGGAAGAGAAAAAGAGGGATTACCAAAACAAAATCAAAAATCAAAAAAACTATCGACTCTGTATTCTCCCTCCTTTTCTCTGCTACGAATATTTTTTCACTTCGAAACTTGCATGGAGTCGGCTGATTTCGAACGTGATGAGGAGCAAACTCTCTACAAAGCGGAGGACGGGGAGCGATCCATGTGCACGCGCATTCGCCATCGCAACGCATCTCATGGCGATGTGTCGGTATAACAACCCTCATTATCCATTCCAGCTATCAGACTCGAAGCCCGGCACGGGAATTGTCTCATCAATTCTCTTCGCACAACACGCTCTTGCGACGCATCCCCTGTCTTCATCATCGCAGCGAGTGCGTGATTCTACAGGTGGGTCACTCGGATTCCCCTCGGATTTCATCCCAACCTCTTCTGCAAGCCACGGCCACAAGTGCTGAAATTTTCACAGCAGTTGCACCATCGACATAGCTTGCAGCAGAAGCGGCGTCAATGCCATGGAATTGTGCATGGCTGAATGAAATCTATGTGCATGACCCACACCTTCAATCGCGTGGTCGCGTGTATACTAGAAACTCGACTCTTCGGCGTTTTCGTGAACACACTGTTGGGCTGTGTCGGTGCACGTCTGTTTCATACGGTTGACTGTCGGTATTTGCTTTTTTCTTTTTCTTCCTTCTTCGTCTTTTATTTTATTTTTTTCCTTTTCGGTTTTCCATTTGTTCTGTGCTGGAGATAATGATGATTCTCTATCTCACACTGAGGCTTTGGAATTCTTGTGCTATTCAGAGTAAAAAGGCTTTCCAACTATTTGGTGGTGGTTTTTTTTTTTTTTTTAAGTGGAATGGAATATTGGTTGTGATGTTAGAAAAGAATTGTTGCGGAATTTCATGAAACTTCGAAGGATTGAGATCCAGAGATTTGAATCATTTTTGTTGAAACGATTGAAACGATGAAATGCAGTAGATTGGTATGTGGTCCAGATCATTTATTTTTGTAGAATTGTGGATGAGTTTTGGTGAAACTCAGATTTGTGTTACTGTAGTGGACTTCATTGTGTATCATTCCATGTATTTGATAGCAATTTATGACAAACATATTTATTTATGGATTCAATAAAAAAAAAAAAAAAAGAAAAAAAAAAAAGGTCTCAAGTATAAGAGTTGTATTGGTTTTTGGCACATGTGTCAAATAAAAAAAAATGACAAGAAAAGGCACAGTTTATATATTAACAATCAACACCTATTTCAAAACAATTATGGTTTTTTCTATGTACAAATCAGTATGTAGATGAAATAAATTAATTGAGTATGAAAACATATTTTAGATTTTATATCAAACATTCTAATTAATAATATTTTTCTTGTTGTAAAATAAATAAAAATTATGATAGAAATATCCATGTTTTATTTTTTAATATATTAATTATTAATATTACTAAAATCCCAGCCTACCAATAATTGAACTAGTAACTCTAAGCGAGTTTATAATACAGCCCATAAATATGGGATTAAGTAAATTGGGATTGATGTTTAGTATTGCAACTATGTCATTGTATGCCATTTCCGGTCCTAGTGTAGAGCACATTATTCCATTGCACTTTAATCATTGCTCTTATGAGGTGACTCAGTGGAAGAGGATCCAAATGAGTTAAACTTTACTAAACCACTTAGGCAAATTTTTGGTGAATAGACAATGTTGCCAATCAAACTAGAGCATTAGGATATTGGGTTTCTACTGTAGATCCTGAACCAAAATCAGGTAGCCTTGGGACATAATCAAACATGGTGCTTAATAGTCTTGAAAATTCCTAGACAAAATGGACATGCAATGTTGATGGTTGGATTGATCTGACCTTGGCAAGCATTCACGGCAATGGCCTTGTGATATACACTCCAAATAGATGAGGCCTCCTTCTATGATCACTTCTTGTGCTATGTATTTTTTATGGAAAAGCTATTTCCACTACTTGGAAATGTGGAGATTCATTGAGTTGTCAAGGTTGGTTAAGCAATTTCTTGCATCCATGGTGGAGGCTAGGTATGGGATGTTGCTGGGCTAGTGAAACAACTCTAGGTCAAATTTGAACTTCACATATAGGCCATATCAAAGATTACATCAATTTACTTCAATTACTAAAAAATGCATATGTAAATTAAAATTGGACTTGGTAATTGCATCTCAAAAGATATGTAAGTTTGATTAGATAGTGAAATATTAAAATGACCTACCCATTTATTAAATCAACCCACCATATTATAACCATTATGAAAAAAAATAGATCATCTCCAAAAACTATCATTACAATCATGACCCTCATCCCACCCTCCTTGTTCCCAATCTCCACTCCCTCCATTCCCAACCTTTTTCATTCCCCTCCAGTACCCCCCCCCCCCCTTTCTCAGCTCTCATCCCAATCCCCCCTTATTGTCAACAATAGGGTCGGTTGATTTAGTAAATGGGAGTCATTTTAACATTTCCATAATGATAATAACTTTCTTAACTTGCACAATAACATTCTCTAATTGTTCACTGCAGTATTAGAAGGTTGATGATTTACACACAATACACCCAGACTTTTCAATGTTCAAACTGTTCAAAAATTCACTTCATTTTACAAACCACAGATTTTTAGGATTTAAGAAATAACCCTCAGTTATTGGATGTCATAGCAGCTCTATAAAACCTCCTAAAGTACAAATTAGCATAAGAAATCAAATGCAACCCTTCCAAGTGTGGTACATGCAAGAGCAAGTGCATGTACCTGTCACATTCACATAACAATTATAAATACCCATTATCAACACAAGACTTTTAGTTGAGAATCTAAAATCCCATTACTTGTACGTGATTTTACACACAATTCTATCATCTAGAAACAAGTGCATAAGTGCAGGATTTGAGAGGTATGAGTATAGGCTGTAGGATTCCCGAAAACTGCATTTCAAAGGATTGCCACTGATCACCTCAAGTTGATCTCTACTAAAATCTTTCAAATGAAGCGAATGAATGCTACTATCTTTGTGTAACGTGACATGATTAGTGCATACTCGAAAGTGTGGATAAATGTTCATAAGCTTATGAAAGTACAGCAATTTGCTGACGCATGTCAGAACCTTGAAGATGACAACACAATCACCACCATTTCCATAGCCTGGTTCCTAAAGTACCCAGCCACATATATACAACTGGAAAATTGATAGTTTACATCAAGACCAAAGCCTGGAACAGGTGGTGGAAAAGCACGATATGTGTACAGAAAAGTGATTGATTAATGTGATAAATTTGTCGCTGACATTTCATGTTCAAGAGCAACAAGGAAATCCGCATACTGCTCCGCAAACACGGGTGAACCCTGGAAGTCGGACATTTAATAGACATTTTAATGGCGTACAAGGTGACTACTGAGAACACTAAATCTCCTCCATAACAATTCCTCACAATTAGGCAGTACAGAAAAGACATCACATGAAGATATGGGCAGTCCATGCAAGTATACTGGACGGAAGTTACCTGTAGAGTGTGCTTGTAGGCCAACCACACCCGTTTATCTCCCTGAAATGTCTCGACCAGAACCTGCAGAAGTTGTTCAAAATAAAAGGTCCATGAAATTTTGGAAGCTCTACGACCGATGACTTGCATTCAGAAAGTACACGAGTACAGAAAAACCTAGTTCAATATCATCCACGGTCAATCGTGTCTAACACCTCAATTAAAACTCACGAGAATCCTAGTACTTAGAATCGTATGTATCACTTCATCGCCTTCAACGTTGTCAAAATGCAAAAAATTGAGATTCAAATAATAAATTCTAAATCTAAACAACATCCCTTCATTACGACACAAATTGGTTAGGAGTGTTTGTATAACAGATATGTAGTCGCTCAAAGTCTTGAATGTACAAAAATAAGGCCGTCCACTTCACCTCAACTTGTCGAAGAAGTGTAGCAAGCAGCGCTATCCATTCCTGGAAACCAACAGTGCGCATATGTGACAGCAAAAATTCCAGTTCTTGGAAACTCTCCAGTTCACGTATAAAGAGCTGCAAGCAATGAGATCATTGTCAGCGAAGTCAAGGCAAGGAGATAGGCTCACACTCGGGAGAGACTTCCTATGTACAAGTGTGTCAACAGACGAATACATCTTAAAATCGCTCGGTCCTTCAATTCTTCCTAATCTTGAAACATAGACTCCACAAAGAGCATTATGTGCCTGAGCGACGATTGAAATCCAGGGAGCTAATGTGACAGAATACTTCATTTGAGGAAACTCCGCAAGATACAGGACTGCCCGCACTGCTTTACGCGGCGGGAGCCTCTCGCCCAATGACCGCAACATATGTAACTGACCAATCCTAAACTCATGGTTTCACAGCTGACGTAGGTACTGCCCACGTAATAACTTACAAAATGCAAAGCAAACGTCAAACTTTCAGAGAGGTCCAATCACTGACTTTTTGGCCGGCAGTTAGTAATGCAGAAGCGAAGTCCTCCAAACGAGCTGCTGTACCTCGTTCTGTTCTAAGAAAAGCCTGAACATAGCACATAACAAAATCAGATATTGCACATGAAGATGCAAGTCGTTCATCATTTTTACCAGATGTAGAAGTACAAAGCACGTAAATAATTCTAAGCCTGAACATGTTTCTCTGCAAGATTCGGTCCCCACTCTGCTCTTGCATAAATCACAGAAAATGATCGAAACGGTAGACATTTGTGGTATCTCTTAGTGATTGCTCAATTTTAGCCAAAGGCTTCAAATCAAACCAAAAATATAATATTTAGGAGTTTTTTTGTATACATTGAAATCAAAGTGGGTGGCATTGATAAATGCAACCAGTTTTCGCAGCTCCAAAGTCCTCATCAAGAGACTGACATGTTCTTCAAGAGCGGTCTTTACAACGGCAAGATTTTGTTCATCACCAAACCCTGGTTTACTGTCAAGGCGTCCAGACAAAAAAAATGAGAGGACATATCAAGTAAGACATTTGACTAGCACATTACTTATGACTAGCACAGCCTACATACATCAAGGGAAATACACCATACCTCAAATTAAAACCACGCAGGTTTATCTGAGACAACAAAACAACAAATACAGGAAATGTAATGCTAGTACACACGCCAACTCACCTAATGCTCAACTCCAGTAAGGACGACACAAGTCCGTTCTCATACCGGACAACCTCCTCCTCTTGTGCTTCGCTCTCTCTACCACCCCGGAGCAAAAACCGCACCTGAAGAATAACCAAGAAAAAAAGAATGTCACTTAAGATGCAGCAGCAAGACGAGACGCAAAATGTAGAACAGAGCAGATTAACAGTGGCATGATAATAAGGTTCACGATTGCTTCAATTTCAGGCTTCTGGTTTTATAAATGTGAAAATAAGACCGCCCCCACTTGCGAGCTCTCCCCGGGGCGGGGTAATAAAACAAAATATATTCTCACCAGTTCACCAGCCAACTCATACTGAGAAACTTCAAGTGTGGCCTGTTATAACATCATGTTCACCACATGAGCGCAACATCAGAAATATACCAACTAAACAAAAGTAGAAAAAGGACTCCAGCGGAAATGTTTGAATAAACTTTAAACAGCGAAGGGTTAAAGAGATAGACGCACTTTAAGAAGTCGAACAGCGCAGTGCTGGCTAATGATCGAGCCCTCTAGCTTCTCAATCACCTGATAAATCCAAGTCCATACGAACCTATTAATCATGGTCAATTCCTTGAGCGCTCAACAACACGCACCTACTACCAGCTTTGTGCTATTAAACTCTGAAAATTGTAAGAAACGATGACACGATCCTCTGCCTTCATGCATGTCTCCAAGGTTGCATCGATTTTATTCAGATCTAAGGTTACTGACCAGTATGTAGCACGAGGCTGTTCGATATAAACCCTTCTCTAAGCACTCCTCAAATAACCTGCAAGTTCGTAATCATCTAAGTAATTTAAGTTTTTGGCCAAATGATACTTTTAATACGTCAGAAAAAGGACACGCAAAAGTAGGCAGCCTTAACTGCGAAAATGATTGTCAAAGAACTCATTTAATGTTTCTATGTTGATTTATAAAAATAAAAGATAAAAACACAAAATAAAAACTCGATCTACAAAATCTGAATCATGCACAAATATACCACAGGAAATCACTACTGATTGGTAACTGTATTGAAGACATCTCAAGGCTATACGTAGCACTTGTATTATTCAGTGATTTACGCACGAAAAAGTGCTCGCTGCAGTTACTCTTCAAAATAACTGAAACAATCTATGAACAAGTTCGGGATCTTGAACTTACGTGGTTGAATTCCCAGCAACAGCAAAAAGCTCGGGCCAGTGCCTACTATCGGACTTTCGTGCCACGCTCACCAAGACATCCAGGTACTCAGGAAAGTTATGTATCAAATTGCAGACTTGTTGCAGTAATAAAAAGACTGTTCGCTTCACTGCAATGTTCCTTCCTCTTCTTCTATTGATCGACTGACTGCAGAAATGATTCAAGAGCAGATATGTTAAGCTAAAATGACATCCTATAAAGGTTAGAGAGCGACAACTTTAGATGATTATAAAATTTTGAGAGTGGGATGCATGGTAAAGAGGTTCAGCATTACAACATCCAACCTAGCCAATCACAATATGATCATAAGGAGACCAAGGCTTGGTTTTCCCAACAAATACATTAAAAATAACTCACCTTGACATAGCTGCGTCAAAGACGATGAATAAAAGCTTCTCCAAGGAATGTGAAAAGTGGGGTAAGCCTTCTGACAATTTTGACAGCTCAAGTGCCTCCTCTGACTTATTTCTCTGTGAACATGAAGATATGTATCAATACAGTCACACAACAGCTCCCTCTAAACTGCATCCATAAGAAAGATGAATTTCCATCAACAAATAGAGTAGATGATGGATAATGAATAAAAAGAAACCTACAAGGAGGTTTCAGCGACAGTATTAGCTTTCATGTGTAACCGTCCACACAAAATCAATGCTGAAAGAACGTTCATGATGAAGAAGTGCGCATATTTCCAAAATACCAGGTTAAAGTCCAAGACAAACCTGAAGCAGGTGCCACAGAATAAACGGGAGAATGGGTTGCGCTTGTGGAGTAGGTTCAAAGCAGGGCAAGGGTATTCCCCCCGAAAGAGTAAGTCGCTGTGTAATTCCCACAATAATTCCTGCTGCTGAAGATATACCAAGAGGGTAGACTTCCCTATCGAAATCTAATTCGGGCTCCAGCTGTCGATAAGGCAACATTAGGCATACTATTGAAGTATTGATTATAAGTAGTCCGTAGTATTAGAAGCAACGTTACAGGAAGTAGAATTAAGTTGATATCTTCACTAACTAGATCACTAAACATTTTGACACAATATAAAGAGTTGGTTCGATGGTTGCAAACCTGTTTAACACTTGGACTTTGGATAATGTTAGCATTCGATGGAAAATACCAGACCTGGCTCCATAAGGATCGATTGCCATCAGTTTTGGTACTATAAATGAAGAACAGCAACATTTAGGCCCATAAGAACACCCACCTAAAACTGAAACAAGGGTATACCTGCATGCCTTGAGGACCATAAGCCCAGCATGGATCCTCTTTGAGTAGGTCAGTTTCTTCTTTTGCTTGATAGTCACCTAACCAAAAACGTTCCACTCCTGTAAGAATGCGACGTTCATTACCATGATCCAAATCCAGCAATGAAAGCTCCCCATCTGTGCGGAGGATCACACATCTGCAATACAACAATCAATATATAAGCACAAACGCTAAACATCATAGAGACCAAAGCTCATTTATCCAGCTAAAAGATCTGAGTTCATGATTTCAAGAACAACTTGATGTAAAGTATTTCTGCTTATACTATTTTAAGAGTGATCAGAGCAGGCGGTGCATTTGAAATCAGAATCAGGTCATTTATAAAGTATTCAATGTACACGAAGTCTTATGGAGGTTACAGTAAGAGGATGTAGAAGCAACCTAGTAGGTTGCATAGCAGCTTCGCCAGGTGACTCGCTGAAATGATAAATGCTAGGTCCGACACGGGGGCTATCCCAAGGATTAATTTTAAAACCTTCACGCCAAGGTCCACTGTTTGGAACGAAGTGCACTGCCACTGGAAATTTCCTCGTACTCATGATTGAAAGTTCACGAACTGTGAAGAGCTGCAAGATCAACACTAATCCCCATTACACAACAACACAAAAAGTGATATGCAGCTCTTCAGCATGACTTTACGCAGCGTGTTCAATTGATAAAACAATGACGAGGCATAGTTTCATTATCACGAGGCTCTTCAACTTGATTGTAATTAACTTAGCAAGTGAAGAACAACCCACCTGTACTGTTGCAGTATTCCGGGAAGACAGCTCGCCCTGAATATGTACCTTGAAAACATAAATATCAAATGGGGAACAAGTAACAAGAATATAATCTTGCCACACGTCCATTGCTATGGGCTTTCCTGGAAGCTGCTTGCGACAAAGCAAAGAGGCCTCATCCAGATGGTATCGTGGGTAAAGACACAATTCGAACCTACAGAATTGACAGTGGTAAAAGTTCATTAGAGTGATGAAAATCCATCAATTCACTGCAACTCAACTTCATTCAATACAAGCCGTTCCCTCTGCCACATAACACTTCCATAACCACTACATTCTGAGAAAGATGTTTCAACCACTGACGTTTGGACCCACGATACAGCAATATGTCTGTAGCACAAATACCGATAAAAATATGACAAGGTATACATCCTTTCATTCTTAAACCAGAATCACCCCAGAATAATATAAGAGAAAACAAAAACCACACATCAGAATCTCGTAAATTCAATGAGAAAAACGCAGGCATCGAACCTGGGATGGAAAGAACAAGTTCATGTTTTACCTACCAATTTGATTTCTCCCGATAGTTGCAAATAACCACTATTTTCCCCACCCAAATTACACCAACACAATGCACCTGCCGTTCTTGCAACACATCACCGAAAACTCGGAACTTCTTCATCTGCAAATCGTGAAGAAGCAAACCTTTGCCGCCAGCTATGGCAAGGTAACTCCCATCTTCATTACCTGAAACGTGGACCACTGGCCAGTTGTCCCAAATATAGGGTTGCTGTCGTAACAACAATTCACCTATTCAGATGGAATCTTACAAACATATGATAGGGATTTCACTCTCAGCAGGATGATCAAATAGCTAAATATCCTGAATATGCATTTTGAATAGAGTACTTACTGTGCACGACCACAAAACATAAGATGTGAGAACACTTGAACAAGGAATGAACAGATGGAATTAGCAGAGGAATATGCAAAAATCTAAATTTGATTCGAGGTAGTCTGATGCAGATTATCATGGTAACCCAGGTCTTCACTAATAAGAATCGGTGAAATATTGCTCGTTTGACAAGTTAAAATGTAGAACTCTGCAAATCTTACAGGAATGATAAGGTGGTGGTTCTTGCTGTCACCGCTCTCGTCAGATTGAACCAGTACAACGCGATCTGCCCCGTGCATTAACTGCCACGCATCGGTAGTTGCAGCAATACTCTGGCTTGCCGGACTGCCAACTCAATTTAGAAGATTAGATTCATAACACAGAATTCATACATCTATGTGCATAACAAGAGGAAAAACCCACAACTAAATGTAATCAACAGTAAGGTCTCACGAAGATAGCAATTAACTCCACGTAACTGTAACAAAATGAGGATGTAATATAAGCAGGAGAAGCTCAACCGACAAGGGAAATAGACTCAAAGGTCCACATGCCCAAAAGGAACCAAGACCCAAACACAAGTGGACACAGTGCTAAAATTGAGGTACACGTAAATGCGACATTTCATAGGGTAGATACCATTCTTGTCGCTGTAAGTGAAGCATCAGAATATTTAGTTTTTTCTCTTATTCATCCAACTGTGATTATCTTATTTTGCAAGCTCCATTATCTCTTGATATTCCATGGCATCACCCATTTGGAAACTCAGTCCCACCACTGAGTTAGATTGAACCTATTGCACACAAACCCTGATTAAATAAACGCAGATAATGTCATGAAAACTACCTTTTCGCGAAACGGAACTCAAAAAACCGCAGTGTGCTGCCTCTCTCGACAGCAAAAAGTTCATATGCATAACGTCCCCAAGCCAGTAGGGCCACACCTTTCACCATAGGCTCACTCATGGATCTCTCATTGTCAACTCCAGGAGCCGGTGACTGAGAATTGCTCAAGCTACCTTGCCGAATCGTGCACATCAATCGGCATCCAGAGACAGACCACACTGACAAGCCTCTGTTCCTCCATCCAACTGCAAACGCACGATTGTCTGGAGTCCAAGCGATTTGAGACACTGGTCCCGTGTCTTCCAAGGAATATCTATGTACAAATTTCACAAACATAGCACTGATCAGGAAGACTTGTTCCATTCTAAAATATCCTGGAAGAAGGAAGACTAGTGCCGAACCACCAGAGATAAAATTAGAAGGGATTGAAAAAATCAAAACCAAAAAATTGAAGGTAAAGCTTGGCTGGAAAAGCTCTAGATCTAAAGATGCACTAATGCGAGCACATGTGGCATCCTTCAATCAAACTCCGTCGTACCAAGCATCCTATCAGTAACTACAATTTATCGATCTGCTGACCAATTTTTTATATGAAGTACACCAGACGCTGACTATACACTCAGTGATTATTGTGCGCTCACAAAATCCTACAATGATAAACAATAGCCTAACGTAGACTTTTAAAAGTACAATATTCAAATCAAATCGGCAGTTGAAGAATAATACACAATGTCAATGTACATATGTGAAGTTCCGAAAATGGACGGTTTAAATGTTAGAACTCACCCCCAATCGATCAAAGAAATTGTACGAAGAAAAGATGCACCATCTGCCAAATTGAAAAGCTCCAATGTTCCCCGTCTGGTCCCAACTGCAAGGATCTGCTGATCGTGGGCAATTGATGCACACGACGCATCGACAACACCTACCCATCTCTCTGGAGATATTTCAGAGCATCGTTTTGGGCCCTTCTCATTGATAGTACAAAGAGCTACGACTCCTTCGGTGAAAATTGCAACTAATAACTGCAACTCGACTGAAACTTGAAGTTGTGACAAACTAGATGGTTTATGTACCCTTGTCTCTCTAGATGGTGATGGAATGATTGGGAGACGAGGAGATAATGGGAAAGAGGATTGATGGACAAGACCACTCGGCGAAACCGGGACCGTACTGGCCTCTAGTACACTTGTATCAGAAGCTGAAACAAATTCGTCCAGAACATCTGAGACTCCAAGAACCTGTTGGTATGGTGCAAACGGCCAGAAAAAATAGACGGTGAGAACTAATAGGAGCTGAGCATCTAACGGGGGTCACACAAATCACCAGAAGCCACATTATGTTCCAATGTAAAACATCAGAACACTGAAACAAAAAAGCATTTGAGCTGCACAAATCCAGATGACTGAAAATATGAGACTTCACCTCCCCATCCCAAGACACAATCCTGAGATAATTGTTTGAAAGCCCCAATATGATGCTAAACTCATCACCTGCAATGCAGCTCCTGCAAGGAAGTTATTGGAACAATATTATCAGCCCTTAAAATGCTCTTGGGTAAATTCCTCATCCGCTGTCTATAAATATTACTGTCCACATCCATCAATTTTCCACTCTCCGGTAGGAGTAGACTCAAAAAGAGCGAATTTCATATGTAACATAGAAATCTTGCTGTAGTGTATAAGAGTTGTACAATACACTGTAACTGTGCGGCTGTACAATGCAGCATCGACACTGATTGACAATATCACACTGACTAATGGAAGCTCCAAGTTGTTGTGAATACTCGATAGCAGCTGCTTTTCGGACACTTGGATACGATAAAAGTGAAGATAACTCTCGGATGTCTGCAGTTTGTTCACACCACAGCAAAAGAGAAACAAACAATCAAAATGTCTCGAACCATGGAATAATCCAAAAAAGATAGAAATCAGATACATTGCAACCCTAAAGTACTATATGTTTATAAACAAAGCTAGAAATATATTCCAAATGATAGGAAGTAATCAGCTATTAGAACATGCGTTTAACCTTGGCCAGCGTCTTACCAGGACAGCTACAGTATTGTCTTTAGCACTCCAGATGGCACATACGTTCGAACCCTCGCGGGAAATCAAACTTCTCTTGAATTGACCCAACTTCGTTGTGTGCTGCACATGTTTATCAGGATAGAATCCGAATAATAATTCTCAGTCCAAAACTCAAAACCATATTGAAGCTCACTGGAAGATGATAAGCCCACACAGGTGAAACCTTAAAATTCAAATGCGGGAAACTTCCCCCACCGTCAACTCCAACACTGTCCAGAATACAAATCTAGTCTAATCCATTCTGATGAGCACTTGACTGGGACTAAACCGAAGACATGGACCTTTGCAGCTTCTCATACTCCTGCGAAGGTTTCCATTAAGAAGAAACCAGCGCCTACAAGCAATGAACCGCACCTGCTCCGCACTCCACACTTGAACCTGTGCAGCCGTCACTAGTAGCAACCAGCCTGAATGCACCGACACGTGCACAACAGGCTGGGGAGAGCTACTATCAATGGACAGCAATTTGGGCCATCCGTAAGCGACATACATGATTGTAAATACCTCCTTCCGATTTATAAACACATGAACAGCAGCCTAGCAATACTTTCTCGGCTGCTATGTGACGCACCACACCGCGATGGACCTAGTTTGTGACAAAATCCTATCATTTGGTCTGAGGAATGTGCCAGCGTAGATTGGTAAGCCTTCAAACAAGAGCAGTGATCTTCGTCCAACGGGTCCTCTCCTTTTTCCTGCCATTCAATTAAAAATCCACGCAGCTATTCAATTTCATCAGCTCAAGATTCTCTAATACCTCGTAGACACAGCTGTTTATCAAAAAACATTGTGCAGCATGAAGCCGCAAAGGACTGCACAAATTCATAAACATTTCACTCGTGCAAATAAGACCGAATTCCTGAACGAGCCGAACGGATCCAGCCACATCTATCCATGAATTCCAATCCATGAAATAATCATTTAGGGTCTCATTAGATCGATATCAATCTCAATATACATGAAACAGTTTTTCTTTTCCTCCATTTTTTTCCTCCTCTTCTGTTTTTACTTTATTCATGTCCTGATCACATGAACCAGATTCCTAGCCCGATCTCAATTTAAACATGATACATTCGTCCAGCTAGCTAGTATCTCCCAGCTCACTAACCACAACGTAATCCAGCAATCAAAGCACCCAGAGCTCCACTCCACCTTAGCTGCACCTCAAAAAATTGCCAGCTCAAATCCTCGCACCTTGTTTTCTCCCAAGCCCAGCCCCGCATCCTTCCCAAGTCCGTGATCCTCCAAGCAACAGATCGCAATGCACAAACAACAAACCTAACTACAATAAAACAGCAACGAAACGACAAAACCAACCCTGCGAAACCAAACACCCGATCACCAATTCCCCACAATCGGTCCCGGTCGATCATAGACTAATCCAGCACGAGGACTGAACACAGAAGGTAAGAAGTAAAGACAAACACCTTGACTCCGTCATTTCGGTAAATCCAGGACGAGGGAGTTCCAGCAGAATCCGAGCTCCAAGAGGGGGAAACGAACGCAAACCAAACCCTAAAGCAAAGAAGCGAACAAGCTCATGGGGGACAGACAGAGGCGAGGGAGACAGACAGAGCGGATTGAGTGCAGACAGGAGCAGCAGCGCGGATGGTTCGGACAGGCGGAGGAAAGACGAGGGAGGAATGATTCAGCTGCGCAGACAGGGCGGCATCCCACCCGCACTTCGGCACCGGATCCTCTCTCGCTTCTCCTGCTTCTGCTACTGCCTCCGCTAAGGAGGAGGAGGAAAAACCCGCACAAAGTTGGTGTTTATAGTTTTGTGCGCTAGTGAGAAAGTATGACTACAGTTGCACTCATTTGGTGGGAGGTCTAGTGTGTTGATGCGTGTTTTGTGTTGTTATGTGTTACTTTCTGTTTTTATTATTATTGTTATTATAATAGTATGCACCATTGTTTTGATTGGATTCTTCTTCATGTAATGTGGTATGTTTTGTTTTCATAACTTATATTAATAATTGTCTTATTTATAGTTATTTATGGATGTATGTAGAATTTTTATAATATGATATTCATCAAATACAAAAAAAGAAGTTTGTATATTTGCTAATACAATAAAATATGGAAATTTTTAAATTGATCCAAGTATTTATTAACTTAATCCATCTATCCAAACCATCAGTAAAAAACTCTCCATTGTCAGATTTGCATTGGTCAAAAATCAATGAAAAAAAAATTGGATCCTCAATTAGTAATAATGGGTGGATTAATTTAAGAGTACTCTAAAATATGACATCATATTTGAAATATGTAAAGTTGATTTAAGACTATAATAATGTACAAACTTTTGTATAGATATGTCTTTTTTCATTATGAAGAAAATTAGTTCATCCACAATGGCTTTAGAATGTCCAATTAATTTATTTCTAAAATTCTAAATCAATATAATTTTTAAGGTCGTTAATTTTTTTGTAAGATGCTATAAATTAGATTGATCCAAGCACATTAAATATTTTTAGAATGGAAGTTGAATAGTTTTTGAAGGCCAATTGTGTAATTATAAGGATAATGTTCAAGTAGAATATATGCAAATATCTTTTGAAGTACAACTTGAAAAATCCTTATACTACTTTAGAATATTATTAGAAATTTTAATTTAATAAGAATTAGATACTATAATATATACTATAATATATATATACTTATAACTTGCATAAATATCCTAATTCCAACAACTAAAAAATTTATTTTTTACATATAAAATATAATTTCTATTTGTATCTATCAATGACATACATATTTATTTTAATAGTTATCTAGATAGTATGAATGAACAAAGGTATGTTAATTTGATAATATATTGTAAGAAAGCTTAATGGAAGCTTTGTAGATGCATCTTCACCTTTATGCATGTCTATAGGTGATTGATAGGTTAGAAACTTGGCTAATAACTTAGCCATATGTTGTATGTGTTGGTAGCTTGTGGTATAAGCTAAAAGATACTTGCCTTGTAAGTTAAAACATGTGTCTTGCAAATTTGACATGACCTCGAGATACTTCAGAATATTATTGCGTAACTCTTTGTTAGATAGTATATATAAAGATAAAATTGAAGCATTTTTATTCTTGTCAATGTCTTTGTAGTCCTTAGTCTTGTTTCAAGACTTTCAAGTCTTCTTGTCTTTGACAATAGCCATTCTAGTTCATTATATTATCATCTTTGAATGATTTTCTAGTCTTTTTAAGTGACATAAGAGTGTATTGAGATTTTCTTTCTTTGAAATTCATATCCTTGATAGTTTGACAAGAGTGATAACTTATTTTTCTTATCTTGTTTTTAGAAGTGAGTGGACTACCTCACTTCTATTATTTTATTTTGAAGGTTGTAGACTACTTACCTTCAATTTAACATTTATTTCTCTAACAATGATTTTTTTCTTAATGAGAGTGGACTACCTTTCTTTGTAGAAATTTTCATTTGATATTAAAGGTTGTAAATTATCCTCATCTAATTTAACTTATAATTTTTTTTTGAATTATCTATAGAACGAAAACTTATGGATGCTATTCTTAGCAAAAGTAAGAATAGATTTGCAACCACTGTAGATCTTCACGAGCTTATCAATACTCTTAGGGTGGAAATCTCAAGTATCTCTAATGTTCATTATGGAGGTAGTATTTCAAAACCCATGGAAGAAATCAACAATGAAGTTCAAAATTTGCACCAAAAAGTTATGCAATTATTATAGACATATATATTTACCTACAAAAGAAGTACTAAATAGAAGGTAAATGTAAGTGTATTTGATATTATCTTATGGCGAAGCCTCTTAAAAACTTTATAGATGCATATTTGGCTTTATACATGTTTATAGTTTATTAGTAGGTTAGAAACTTAATCAAGAAGTTAGCCATATATTGCACATGTTGACAACTTGAGATACAAGCTAATAAATTGACATTATAAATTTCAAACATCTTACTAAAAAGACTTGATGCTATCAAAAAAAAATTGTATCTATATTGTAGAGAACCTAAGTACAATGTTCAACATTGTTTGAAGAAGCAACAAAACTATAAAATAAAGAACATGGTTGCTAAAGAAGATAATGTGTCAAAAAATCAATTTTTTCAGCTACATTAGAGATTGTGTGGCTAAAATCTTGTGTGATACTTAATAAAGGTCTTATTTTCTCTTGATATCCTTTACCTTGTTTTACAATAGAAATTTGTTTAAGACCAAAAAGTTACAAAGTCTTAGCCTTGTTAGATTCAATATTCTTTGTCTATTTTATAAATAAAACCTTTGTTAAAAAATAAAAAATATTCTTAGTTGAAAAAATCAAACATGTACATATTGAAGTTATAGATGGTCCTTTGTTATCTTTTAGAGATGACATCCATGAAATTCTTCTTTTAAATGTACCAACTAATAGTCATAATAACTTAGTAATATTTAATGTCATTAGATCTACTTCTAGCTTAGTTATTTAAGGAATATCTTGGATAAAAAAATATAACTTCCAAATAGACTATATTTCTTATAACTTTGATTTTTCTTGTAGTTTAATCTAAGATTTTGCTAGTCAAGTAGAAACCTATAAATTCAATATGTTCAAACCATTATTGATAGGTGCAAAAACTTTTATGTGTAATACAAAAGAAGGACAAATTTTTCTTATATACACTACATCTATTTTTTATGGAAAAAAAAACAAAAAAAACAAACAAACAAACAAACAAACAAATAAAATAAAACAAAATATTTTAAGTCAATATTTAAATTATCAAGATTTTTTTTAAAAAAAATACAAAAATTCTTCTAGAACATCAATTTTATGATTGTTCCATTGATCTTTAAGAAGGAGTTCAACTAACATTTAAACCAATCTATAACCTATTACAAAATAAGTTGACTGTATTCAAAAAATATATTAATAAGAACTTGGCTAGGAACTTCATTTGTCATTTTAAATCTTGAGTAAGAGCTCCTATCATATTTGTAAAGAAAAAAGATGGATCTTTGCAAATATGTGTGGACTATTGAAGACTCAACAAGATCACCATCAAAAATAGGTATCTTCTATCTTTGATTTTAAGATTTTTTAATCAATTCAATCAAGCAAAGATCTATCTAAAAATAGATCTATGATAAGCATAAAACTTAGTATGCATCAAAGAATGATATGAATGAAAGATTGCATTTTGAATCAAATATGGAGATTTTTAATATAATGTCATGTCTTTTGGATTTATGAATGCATCTATTGCTTTTCAATATCAAATAAATGATGTCTTTTGTGAGTTTTTTAATGACTTTTTCATTTATTATCTGGTGTCATGGATATATATCTATCATAATTGTTACCTAGGTAATATGAATAGGTAGAAGTAAATAAAAGTAGATTAATTTCATAATACCTTCTAGAAAAGCGTCCTAGAAGATTTTTAGATGCTTTTTTGACTTTACATGTGTTTGTAGTTGATTGGTAGGTTAGAAACTTGATCAACAAGCTAATTATGTATTACATATATTAGTAGCTTACAAAACAAGCTAAGTACGTGGTATCCATATAGAAAAATTTGCCTTACAAGTTAAGATACATATCATGCAAAGTCAACACATTTTTGGAGGTCCTATAGAACATTGTCATATAGATCCTAGTTAAATAGTATATATAGAGGTAAGAACGAAGCTTTCTTCATTTTTGTCAATTCTTTTTTTGCTTCTAATTTAGTTTTAAGAGTCTCTAATTTTTTTGTCTTTTAGAAATAGTATTCCAATTTCTTTTTTAATATACACACTTCTCTATTTTTATTTTGTTATGTTTCTTTGAGAGAGTCTCACTTGTTTATTTACTTTTATTGAGTTCTTGACTTTGAAAAATTAACAAGAGTATACTTATGATATCAAATCTTTATCTTTTGTTGATTAAAAGTAGATTACTCCTCTTCTTTTTTATAAGACTTAAGCATATTAGAAATTATAGATTATCCTCTTCTAAACTAATATTATCTTTAATTTTTTTTTCAAGTCTTTTCTTCTATTTGTCTTGAGTAATATCAGACAACTTTCTTTCTTTAAGTGTTATCATAAAAAAGCTTCTTAAAATGAATAGTGCAATAGCACAAATACAAGAGCAATTGAGGGAGTTAATCCTTGAGATGTATCAACTCAATTCATCGCTACATGGAGCAATAAGAATAGTAAGGAGCAAAGATAAAGAGATAATTGAAACAACTTCAACATCTATAGCAAATCATGTCCCTTAGCCTATGATAGAACATTCTTCGTATCTTAGAAAACTAAGAATTATATTGCTCGAGAAGTTTGATGGTACAAGATCCAAGTTTCAAAGATTTATCAATCAAATACAATTTGTGATTGAACTTCAACTCCAAAGCTATTCAATTCTAATATTGCAAGTTAGATTCATTGATACATTCTTTTTAGATTTAGCATTATCATGGTTTTCATCTTTTTTTGAATGATGAGATCTAATATTGGATAATCTGGAGGATTTTTTTGACAAAGTTTCAATCTATGTATAGAAGATATGATGCAATTCATATTGCAACCTATAAGATCCATATTTTATGATGAGGCAATTGATCACTAACATTATATATTTTATAATTTTAATAACTTGCAGTTGATATCAAGTGGAATGATGCTTCACTTATTAGCAAATTTTTCTACGGATTATAATGTGAAGTAAAACAATTGATGCTTAACTTACTTGAATCTCAAACATAGAGTGAAGCAATTGATTTTGCTATGAGGTGTGACAATTGA